GATTATAGGCATGCGCCACCACATCCGGCTAATTTTTATATTTTTAGTATAGACAGAGTTTCACCATGTTGGTTGGCTAGGCTGGTTTCAAACTCCTTACCTCAGGTAATCCATTTGCCTGGGCCTCCCAAAGTGTTGGGATTATGGGTGTGAGCCACTGCACCTGGCCTTCTCTTTTGTTTTTAGAGTTAAGACAGGGAGACCACCATTTTTGCACAAACTTTGGAAAATGCTAAGGGAAAAGAAAGGAAAAAAAAAAAAAGAAAAGCAGAAATTTCCACTGAATCTCTTTATAGCCATTCACATTTTATAACCCATGTGGCGCTACTGAGAACTTACCAGGGCAATGTGCTGCATTGACCTTGAGGCATTAGCAGGAGTAGCCAGGTGGGGAAGGGCTGCGGTGCTGTTGGGTCCAGCCAGGTTCCTCAACTCACAGCAATAGTGGCAATGGAGGCCGGGTGCAGTGGCTCATACCTGTAATTCCAGCACTTTGGGAGGCCAAGGTGAGTGGATTACTTAAGGTCAGGAGATCAAAACCAGCCTGGCAAACATAGTGGAACCCCGTCTCTACTAAAAATACAAAAAAGTTAGCTGAATGTGGTGGCGGGCACCTGTAATCTCAGCTACTTGGGAGGCTGAGGCTGGAGAATCACTTGAACCTGGGAGGCAGAGGTTGCAGTGAGCCTAGATTGTGCTACTGCATTCCAGCCTGGGCAACAGAGTGAGACTCTGTCTCAAAAAAAAAAAAAAAAAAAAAAAAAAAAAGAGGCCAGGCGTGGTGGCTCATGCCTGTAATCCCAGCACTTTGGAAGGCTGAGGCGGGCAGATCACAAGGTCAGGAGATCAAGACCATCCTGGCTAACATGGTGAAACCCCGTCTCTACTGAAAAAATACAAAAAATTAGCTGGGCATGGTGGTGGGCGCCTGTAGTCCCAGCTACTTGGGAGGCTGAGGCAGGAGAATGGCATGAACCCGAGAGGCAGAGCTTGCAGTGAGCAGAAATCAGGCCACTGCACTCCAGCTTGGGTGACAGAGCAAGACTCCATCTCAAAAAAAAAAAAAGAAAAAAGAAAATAGCGGCAATGAGCTCTAACACATGTCATATTTGGGCACCGTTCTACATTACTTACTTATATATGTATTCACAGTGACTCATTTAATTCTTATAACAACCCATCAGGTAGCTACTGTTATTATCCCCATTGTAGAAATGAGGAAACTGAGGCACAGAGAGATTGAGTCACACTTGCTCATGATCATATAGTTACTAAGTAGTAGAATGTGGGAGAAGGATTACCTAGGTGCTGAGGCAAGAGACTGAAGGCACAAACTGTTTCAGTATAATAAAGAAAATAGTTAGAATAAAAACAGTCATAATACAAATTAGATATAGAGATGATCATGGACAATTATCAGTCATTATTATAAACATTATTAATCATTAGCTTTTAATATTACTCTTTGTTGCATTACTAATATAACCTAGGAATAACCGGCGGGTGTAGGGTCAGGTGCTAAAGGGACATTGTGAGAAGTGACCTAGAAGGCAAGAGGTGAGCCTTCTGTCACGCCCACATAAGGGCTGCTTGAGGGCTCCTTGGTCAAGCAGAGATGCCAGTGCCTGGGAAGACACCCATTACTTAGCAGACTGCGAAAGGGAGTGTCCTTTCCTTGGAAGAGTCAGGGAACACTCTGCTCCACCAGCTTCTTGTGGAAGGCTGGATATTATCCAGGCCTGCCCGCAGTCATCCGGAGGCCTAAACCCTTCCCTGTGGTGCTGTGCTTCAATGGTCACTGCTCCTTGTCCGCTTTCATGTTCCTCCTGTACTCCTGGTTCCTCTTTGAAGTTCGTAGTAGATAGAGGTAGAAATAGTGAAAGTCTTAAAGTCTTTGATCTTTCTTATCAGTGCATAGAAGAAAACGCTGACGTATGTTGCCTTCTCCATCTCTACTTCGGCTACCTAAAAGGGAAGGGACCCTTGTCCTGTGATCATGTGACTTGCTTCACCTTGTCAATCACTTAGAAGATCCATGCCCCTTACCCTGCTCCCTTATCTTGTATGCAATAAATATCAGCACGCCCAGCCGGTCTGGGTCACTACTGATCTCCATGTCTTGATGGTAGTGGTCCCCAGGGCCCAGCTGTCTTTTCTTCTATCTCTTTGTCTTGTGTATTTATTACAGTCTCATCTCCGCACACGGGGAGAACACCCCCTAAGCCCCATAGGGCTGGATCCTACAATAGAGCTGGAATTCAACCCCAGGAAATCTAACTTGGGAGTCTATTCTCCTAATCTCTGTGCTATTTTATTCCGTCAGCAAAAGATGACAAGTTTTGCTAAGAATATAGGGAGCCTGAGGTAGAAGAGGAATGTACCCTTGCACAGCCCCAGTCCCAGGCTCTAGGATACCCTTCTGGCTTCGTAAGCATCCTGCGAAGGTGCTCAGCATCACTTAGCACAACTCCCAGACGCAGAGGGCCCGGTCTTCGCTCTGAGTGCCCTGCATTTCTGCCTCACCATGGGGAGACGGTGATTCGTTTAGCTTGGAGCAGAGTCTTCAGCAGCCTTCTCAGGAAGCAAGATCCCTGCCCTCCCCGGTGGCTGAGGACCTGCTTTCACAACAGCACTCCGGGCTGGGAAACCGGTGGGGCCACTTTCCTAAGGTGTGTCTGTCACCTTAGACCTTCATGAACAGGACGTTTCAAGCAGAGAGCATGACATTTGCAAAAATTGAGGAGTGAGGAAAAGCTAGGCATGTCCACGGAGCGGAGAAGATAGTGGCTGATGGGAGGCTGCAAAAGGGAGGGAGGAGAGACGGTTTGGAACGGTAACCTAGGTCTACCTTTGATTCTTGTAAAAGGCCTGTACAGAGTACAGAAATGTAATTTTTTCCCTCTTTAGGCAGTGGAGAGCCGTTGAAGGTCATGCTGTGTTTTTCATGTTTACAGTTTCGCTCCTTAAGAAGCGTTTTTCTTGTCTTTACAGGCAGATTCTTTCCCAACAATTAGGAAACACTGCCATCATGTGGCTCGGTGGATGCATGATCCCAACTTAGGTTGCTGAATGTTCTATCATATGTTTAATAATTAAACCAAAGAACACACCTGGGAATTCAAACAGCTGAGGTAAAGAATGTCAACCTGTCAAAAAGGACATTTTCTATAAAGTGTTTCAAAAAATCAATACCTGGGTTCCATGACCTGATTTCTTACTTTGCTTTCAAAATTCTAACCTGGCCAGGCATGGTAGACTGTAATCCCAGCACTTTGGGAGACCGAGGTGGAAGGATTGCTGAAGTCCAGGAGCTTGAGACCAGCCTGTGCAACATACTGTGACCCCTCTCTATAAAAAATGAACAAATTTAGCCAGGCATGGTGGCGTGGAGCCTGTAGTCCCAGCTACTCGGGAGGCTGAGTTGGAGGATCGCTTGAGCCTGGGAGGTCGAGGCTGCAGGGAGCCATAACGGCACCACTGCACTTCAGCCTGGACCAGACCCTGTCTCTGTAAATAAATAAATAAATACATACATACATACATACGTAAAAAATAAAATTCTAACCTAAGTGTTTAGAGATTCTGATCTCAAGAATCCTTTCTATTCCCAGTGACCCCTTATTTTAGAATCCTGTGTTTTCTGTCCCTGCAATGGTTCCGCCCTTTCCAGGGCAGTTTGCATCAAGCTGTATCCAGGATATTTCTCTTAACTGTGCCAGATTTTGTTTCAGTTCCGGGATTGTTCTCCCTGTAGGTCCCACAGTTGGACAGACCTAAATTCAAATATTCACACCATTTTTTCCCTGTGAGCTTCAGTTACTGCATCTATAAAAGAGGCACGACACCAGCCGGGCGCGGTGGCTGACTCCTGTAATCCTAGCACTTTGGGAGGCCGAGGTGGTGGATCACCTGAGCTCATGAGTTCCAGACCAGTCTGGCCATGGCGAAACCCCATCTCTACTAAAAAATACAAAAATTAGCCAGGAGTGGTGGCATGTGCCTGTAATCCCAGCTACTTGGGAGGCTGAGGCAGGATAATCGCTTGAACCCAGGAGGCAGAGGTTGTGGTGAGCCAAGATCTCGCCACTGCACTCCAGCCTAGGCTACAGAGTGAGACTCCATCTAAAAAAAAAATAAATGAATAAAAGAGAGCAACAACTTCTTCATAGGGTTATTATAAGATGAAATGATAGCATGTGTAAACAGTGCCTGGCACATCACAGGTCTTCACTTTGAGAGAGTCCTGTTTCACCCTCTATCCTTGGGGGCCTGTTATTTTATTTATTTATTTATTCATTTATTTTTGAGACAGACTCTTGCTCTGTCGCCCAGGCTGGAGTGCAGTGGCATGATCTTGGCTTACTGCAACTTCTGCCTCCTGGGTTCAAGAGATTCCCCTGCCTCAGCCTCCAGAGTAGCTAGGAATACAGGCTCGTGCCACCATGCCTGGCCAATTTCTTTGTTTTTTTAGTAGAGATGGTGTTTCGCCACGTTGGCCAGGCTGGTCTCGAACTCCTGACCTCAGGTGACCCACCCATATCGGCCTTCCAAAGTGCTGGTATTATAGGCGTGCACCGCGCCCGGCCTGGGGGTCTGCTATTCTAAGCACAGCTCTGGCACTCAGTGGAAGTCTGTGATCTGATATCCGAGGTCTACCTGGTCCTAAGCAATGTTCCTGAAAACAAAACTACTCATCCCCTCAGGCTTTTGGGACCATCCATATTTCCCCGCGTTGGCGGTGGACCCCGGGCTCGGGCTCGCTGGGGTTTGCAATCCACGTGTCTCCCCTGCGCGCAGCAGGCAGCAGGTGCATGGGTGTGAGCAGGGCAGGGCCCCTCGGCATTCATTCCTCTCCGCTCCCTCCCCGGGGCTGGGGGTTGTGTGTGTACATAATTCAATCCCCGTGGGACTGGTGTCTGGCCTCACCCGCGGCTTGGCTGATTGGTTGTTTCAGCTCGCCCCCGCCCTCCGTACCCCCGGCGTCCCAGGTGGCTCGGGCCCCTGTGGTGATCTCTGTTTACCGAGAGAGCTTGTCCAAGTTGGGCTCCATCGCTGCTCTCGCTCCCCTTCGGGGCCCCCGCCCGCCTGGGAAGCGGAGAGAAAGCCGGGCCCAGCCCTTCCTCGCCCTTCCCCTCCCCGCACAGCCCGGAGAGGTCGGGTAAGGGGGAAGGAGTGTACGTGGGACGGGGAGCCCCGGGCCTGGGGGATCTGGCTGTCCCCGTCCCGGTACCTCGCGCGGACCCGGGAGTTCCAGCCCTAGGCCTGGCTCCGGCTCCCTCTGCTCTGCGCCATCGCGCTCGGGGTGACCCGCCCACCCCGGGGGAGCAGCCAGAGGCTGGATCTCAGGGATGCCAGCTTCCCAGCGGAAGCACAGGCGTGGAGGCTTCTCTCACAGGTGTTTGCCCACCCCCGCAGACGGCGATGACCCCCCAGCCCGCCGGACCCCCGGACGGGGGCTGGGGCTGGGTGGTGGCGGCCGCAGCCTTCGCAGTGAACGGGCTGTCCTACGGGCTGCTGCGCTCGCTGGGCCTTGCCTTCCCTGACCTTGCCGAGCACTTTGACCGAAGCGCCCAGGACACTGCGTGGATCAGCGCCCTGGCCCTGGCGGTGCAGCAGGCAGCCAGTGAGGCGGGCTCTGAGGCGAGAGACGGGAACGGGGAGGAGGGGCTGTGAGTGGAGGGATGGGAGACCCCCCTGATTACCCGATAACCTGAGAAAGGACGACCGGCTCTAGAAAAGAGTGCATCTTAAGGTCAAGGAGAGGAACCATTAGTTCGAGGGAGGTAAACAGCCAATGAGAGGTGTTGGAGAGAGTTTGGGGGCCCGGGGGCGTGTCTTTTATTGACTCCGCCCCCTTCCAGGCCCGGTGGGCAGCGCCCTGAGCACGCGCTGGGGAGCCCGCCCGGTGGTGATGGTTGGGGGTGTCCTCGCCTCGCTGGGCTTCGTCTTCTCGGCTTTCGCCCGCAGTCTGCTGCACCTCTACCTCGGCCTGGGCCTCCTCGCTGGTGAGGGAAGGGGGATGCCCGGGTCATTCAGGGTGAACTGGGGACAGGAGCTTATGGGACTGGGGTAGCGAACGAGGCGAGGGCCTGGTGCGGAGAGCAGGACTGGGAATGCTGGGGAGGGCGTCCCCAGTGCCGGCCCACATCCCCTCCCATTCATTCGCAGGCTCTGGTTGGGCCCTGGTGTTCGCCCCTGCCCTAGGCACCCTCTCGCGTTACTTCTCCCGCCGTCGAGTCTTGGCGGTGGGGCTGGCGCTCACTGGCAACGGGGCCTCCTCGCTGCTCCTGGCGCCTGCCTTGCAGCTTCTCCTCGATACTTTCGGCTGGCGGGGCGCTCTGCTCCTTCTCGGCGCGATCACCCTCCACCTCACCCCTTGTGGCGCCCTGCTGCTACCCCTGGCCCTTCCTGGCGACCCCCCAGCCCCACCGCGTAGTCCCTTAGCTGCCCTCGGCCTGGGACTCTTCACACGCCGGGCCTTCTCGATCTTTGCTCTAGGCACAGCCCTGGTTGGGGGCGGGTACTTCGTTCCTTACGTGCACTTGGCCCCCCACGCTTTAGACCGGGGCCTGGGGGGATACGGGGCAGCGCTGGTGGTGGCCGTGGCTGCGGTGGGTGATGCGGGCGCCCGGCTGGTCTGCGGGTGGCTGGCAGACCAAGGCTGGGTGCCTCTCCCGCGGCTGCTGGCCGTATTCGGGGCTCTGACTGGGCTGGGGCTGTGGGTAGTGGGACTGGTGCCCGTGGTGGGGGGCGAAGAGAGTTGGGGGGGTCCCCTGCTGGCCGCGGCTGTGGCCTATGGGCTGAGCGCGGGCAGTTACGCCCCGCTGGTTTTCGGTGTGCTCCCCGGGCTGGTGGGCATCGGAGGTGTGGTGCAGGCCACGGGACTGGTGATGATGCTGATGAGCCTCGGAGGGCTCCTGGGCCCTCCCCTATCAGGTAAGGACCTGAGCTCGCAGATCTGCCTACAACTATCCTCTGCCCCTGGGGTTAGGGTCTTCTAAATTCCCTTACCCATCTCCTCAGGCTTCCTAAGGGATGAGACAGGAGACTTCACCACCTCTTTCCTCGTGTCTGGCTCTTTGATCCTCTCCGGCAGCTTCATCTACATAGGGTTGCCCAAGGCGCTGCCCTCCTGTGGTCCAGCCTCCCCTCCAGCCACGCCTCCCCCAGAGAGGGGGGAGCTGCTTCCCGCTCCCCAGGCAGTCTTGCTGTCCCCAGGAGGCCCTCGCTCCACTCTGGACACCACTTGTTGATTATTTTCCTGTTTGAGCCCCTCCCCCAATAAAGAATTTTTATTGGGTTTTCCTGAAACCTCCAACTGTTCACCCATCTAGGACCCTGAAATTATTCTACTTAAGACAACCAGAAAGGCTGGTTCAAAGGAACAGGATCCCAGGAGGCCCTGGGTATGAAGAAGGGCGACTGTCTGTCCAGGCAACCCATTTCTCTTTGCCCAAGTCCTGGCCGGAACAGGGAATCTTTGCAAAGTTGTCTGGCAGCCGGTTTCAGTGTGTTGCTGGGGTTGGAGGTGGGTTGCTCGTGGGTGCTATCTGCCCCATCTTCATGTCCCTTACCCTAGTCCCCCCAGACCTCCCAGACTAACTCTTCCCTGCATTTCAATCTCCTTCTATGAGCCTGAGGGAAATACAAGAATCCTAGGCTCAGACTTCAGTTCTACCAAAGCTATCCACACATCTATAACCTGTGTCCTCAGCATTCTCTCAATTTTTCTTTCTTTTTCTTTTTTTTTTTTTTTTTTTTTTTGAGACAGAGTCTCGCTCTGTCACCCAGGCTAGAGTGCAGTGGCGCAATTTTGGTTCACAGCAACCTCCGCCTCCCAGGTTCAAGCAATTATCTTGCCTCAGCCTCCCCAGTAGCTGCGATTATAGGCACATGCCACCACGCCCGGCTAATTTTTGTATTTAGTAAAGACGGGGTTTCACCACGTTGGCCAGGCTGGTCTCAAACTCCTGACCTCGTGATCCACCTGCCTCGGCCTCCCAAAGTGTTGAGATTACAGGTGTGAGCCACTGCGTCCAGCCCTCAATTTCTTTTCTAAGCCACAGGGATAATGGGGAAGAGGGAGGTATGTGGTGGCGGCCTGGAGAACAGAGTCCAGGGTTAAAATGCCTTGGGTCATCAGAGCTCCTGGACATCCTCCTCCACTTCCAGGCATGACACCATTCGGCCAACCCAAGCATACGGGCCCCAGCTCATTCTGAGGTTGTGATTATTATCTATTTTTCTTACTTGATTTTATCTCAAAGAGACAGTCATGTTTCCCAAACATATATCTTCAGAGAAGAAACTTGGGAGGCAACACTAGAGATGGTATATAAAACATGATAAGTCTCTTGGCCTTTGATTTTCACAGTTGATTCACACTCAGTGAAGCAGGAACTCCCGGATCCTTTAAAACTCCTGGGTCCTTTAGAAAAGGTTAGGAAAGGCTGGGTGCGGTGGCTCATGCCTGTAATCCCAGCACTCTGGAAGGCTGAGGAGGGTGGATCACAAGGTCAGGAGTTCGAGACCATCCTGGCCAACATGACGAAACCCCGTCTCTACCAAAAATACAAAAAAAAAAAAAAAAAAAAAAAAGGCAAATAGCCAGGAGCGGTGGCTCCCACCTGTAATCCCAGCTACTTGGGAGGCTGAGGCAGGAGAATTACTTGAACCCGGGATGCAGAGGTTGCAGTGAGCCAAGATCATGTCACTGCACTCCAGCCTGGGCAACAGAGCAAGACTCCATCTCGGGAAAAAGAAAAAAAAGAAAATGTTAGGACAGTAAAGGAGGATAAATAAGAGTCCTCAACAAAATACAAAAATACAAAGGGTTGGCACACACATTGCAGGAGCCCCAGGCCTGCTCTAGGGGGAGGCAGATCGAGAATCTTAAGGCACTGTGGTTCTGTGGAGACCAAGACGTGGCAAGAGAAGACCTGGAGCTGTCAAGCTCTGGCTTTCCGGGCCTGACTCTGTGAAGTTCAGTCCTCTTCCAGCCCCTCCTTCGGTAGGGAAACTTTAATATCCGGTGCTTCTGTTACAAGGTCCTGGGGCCTGGAGGTAGTAGTTGAGAAGCAGGAGAAGAAGTCGGGCAGGGTGAGGAGAATTCCACTCCCTGAAAGAAGGAAGGCCCCAGCCACCACAAAAGAAGCCGTGTAGTTGCCTGTCACATCCCGGAGGTAGCCTAGGTCCAAGAGAGAAAAAGAATACACATGAGTGATCTATTTGCTGGGGCTGATGTCTCAGATACATTTTTGGGTGGAGGGAAGACTTATCATCTCAGAGGAGTTAGAACTCCCATGGAGTTGGATAAACTTGAGAACTCTGGTTTCCCAAAAGGGCCTCAAAAGTTAATTTCAACCACCTCCCCGCCTTCAGAAAGGACCTCCAAACCAGCCTGCAGGGATCTGGAGATCCAGATTGAGTGAGGCATACTTGTGCCTTTCTTTCTGGCAACTGTAGCCTTTCCAAAGCTTCAATTAATGGGTAAGAGGAGATAAAGGTCTGAAACTTCTGGCAACCTGAGCCAGCAGAACTTTGACCAGGTGCCTCAGATACCTGGTTTGGGGCCCAGTGGGCCAAAGGAAAGGGTGGACAGTGGAATGCTACGTCTGTGTCTGGCCAGGTTCTGCCAGGTCCTCTGAAAACCCGAGCTGTAGGCGCCCTGCCAAAGGTTCCACTTAGCTTCTCTGTCTTTCCGCTCAGACTTTCCCAGCCCCAAGTTCTTTGCCCCATGGACCCATTTCAGAGATGCTATGGTTGGCCACACAGGCTGTGTACTGTACTACACCAGAGGGCAATATTCACATACACTGGAATGAGAATAGTACCCTCCCCTAGTTGTGCAACATGGCAGCCCTCACCCCCTGGGAACCCCATTCCACTTACCTGACAGAGGAGGCCCCAGCAGTCCCCCGATGCTCTCTATCATCTGCAATAGTCCCAGGCCACAGTAAATCCTTTTAGTCCCTACTAGTTCAGGTAGTACGGAGAAGGCCAGTGGGGCCAGAGCCCCTGATGTGAAGCCGTAGGCCACAGCCAGAGCCACCAGGGCTGTGGGAGCCCGAGCTACAGGGAACAGGGCTAGTGACACCCCAGTCAAGGTGGTCCAGAGCATCAGGAGTCGTGTCACAGGCCCTGGGACTGCATCTCCCAGCCATCCAGAGACCACGCGCCCCACGAGGTCAGAAATAGCAGCAACTGAGAGTAGGAAGGCAGCAGGTAGTGGATCCCAATCCAGGTCCTGGAGATGGGCCACCAGGTGGAGGTAGGGAATGAAGTAGCCAGTGTTGATCAGGGTGAGGGCAACAGTGTAACGGAGGAAGGGGCCATGATGGAGGAGGGAGGTGAGTTGGGCCCTGGGACCACCCACAGCAGGGTCCTCAGCTAGGGAAGGTGGGCGGAGGAGAGCACCACAGGCCACCAGGTGGAGGGAGAGGGCAGACACCAGCAGTAGGGACCCTCTCCAGGCGTAGTGGCTGAGGAGCCACTGGAAAAAGGGGGCAAATGCGAAGGAGGAGAGGCCCACGCCTGTCAGGGCGAGCCCGGTGGCCAGGGATCGACGGCGAGAGAAATAACAGGACAGGCAGGCCAGGGTCGGAGCAAAGGTCAAAGCCCAGCCAGAGCCTGTCAAAAAGGAAGAAGTGGGGTTAGGAACTCTTAGGGAGCTCAAGGCACCCAGTAATCCCCGCATTGCCCAGCAGCAGAATGTAGCACTTGCTGTGGAGTCCAACAGACCTGGGATACAATCTTGGCTTGGATACTTTCTAGCTGTGTAACCTTGTGTGTTTTAACACTCCCAGCCTCAACCTTCTCAACTGCAAAATGTAATAATACACTTTTTGGGATTGTGGAAGATTAGAGACAAAGTTTGTAAGGTAATTAGCACAGAACTTTGGAGTTAGACCTGGGCTCTACCATTTCTGGCTGTGTGACCTTCATTTGCCAAGTTGTATAAGCTTTAGAGCTTTTCCTTAGCTGTAAATAGAATAATGATATCGATTTCACAGTCACAGTACCTAGCACCTTTTTTTCTTTCTTTCTTTCTTTTTTTTTTTGAGATGGAGTTTCGCTCTGTTGCCCAGGCTGAAGTGCAGTGGTGCGATCTCAGCTCACTGCAAGCTCCACCTCCTGGGTTCACGACATTTTCGTGCCTCAGCCTCCCCAGTAGCTGGGACTACAGGCGCCTGTCACCACGCCCGGCTATTTTTTGTATTTTTTTTTTTTTTTTTTTTGTAGAGACGGGGTTTCACCATGTTGGCCAGGATGGTCTCGATCTCCTGACCTCGTGATCCACCCGCCTCGGCCTCCCAAAGTGTTGGGATTACATGCGTGAGCCACGGCGCCAGGCCAGGTTGCATCATCCTTGAATTTCCTAATTCCTCATCATGTTTGTCGGTTTAGTCATTCCTATTAAGAATTCCCTTCTGGGTACAGGTGCTAGCTAAACTTTCCCTCAGCTTCTCCCCGAACCCTTTGCAAGGAGCAGGAAGGAGGTGAACATTCAACGATCTAAGCATTTGACTCTCCTGCCCTTGTGCAGGCTCTCACCTGACAGCAACCCAATACTCAGGTATAGGTGGGTCAACGAAGTAGCGAAAGAGGCGAGCAGCATCCCCAGCGCAGCCAAGATGCCTCCGGTCATCACTACGGGCCTGGGCCCGAACTTCGTGCTCAGGGCACTGCCTACCGGGCCTGAGGAAGTGGAAGGGGCGCTGCGAGAAGATCTCAGGCGTCTCCCCGCCTAGCATCTCCCGCCCCTCGCCCTTCTCCTTCCCAGTCCCCGCATTCCCTCTCCCTTCCGAGGGTCGCAGTCCGCCAGATGCAGGCGCCGCACTCACTCCCAAACTGCTGCACCGCGATTCCTATGGAGGCGATCCAGGAGACGCGCGCTGCCTGCTCCCCAAACGCCGCCACAAACTCCACGAAGAAGACCCCAAAGGAGCGGAGCACCCCGAACACCAGCGCCGACTGGAAGAACGCTGAGAGCACCACCACCCATCCCCAGCCCCCGTCGGGGGGCTCGGTCCTGCGCGCCATCTAAGCCGTAACAGGGCTGCTGCCACCCCGAGCCTCTGCGGGAGCCGGGTTCTGGACGCTGCACCTCTGCACACCCACCCCCGCTGCTGGGTGGCTCGGGGCCGAGAGGGGTTGCAGAGGCAGGTAGAGAGGACGGTCCCGACGAGGCGGCGAGAGGCCCCTGCACCTTTTCCCAAGCGGGGGCGATATAGGACTGAAGACCAGGCCCGCGCCGGCCGGGCCAGAGTCTCCCGGAGGCGTGGTTCCGCGAGCTCGCAGCTGAGCTAGTTCAAGCCGCCGCCAGATCGATCCCGGTTCGGTGTTGGGCTGGGAGCCAGAGGGCGGAACTGCGATTTGAGCCACACCCCTGGAGCGCGCTAGTTTCCTCGTGGATGGTCCATTTTATCACTGGGGTGTCCGCGCCGGGCCACCCTGGCCAACATCCACGTCCAGAGCTCGCCAATGAGGATGCGGGGCTCCCGGGCAGGGGCGGAACCAGAAGGGCAGGGCGGGATTCAGGCATAGATGGGGACCCGGCAGTGAATGGGCGCATGCGTAAGGAGGGGCCTTAGGAGGCCGACTAGGTAGAGCCCCACGTGACGCGGGGACTGCCTGGAAGCTTCCGGGGTGCTTCTGTCTCCTGTTCACCTGGCGGCCAACTCCTCCCCATTTCAGCACCCAGAGCCACACGGAAGGGTTACTGGTGGGTAAACTGGTTCTGCAGAGGAAAGGACTGTCTTGCTTTAACGAGGGGTCCAGGAATTGCAAGGCCCTACTGGGGATAGGGGAGGGGTTAGGAGATGAGACTCAAAGGAAGTGTCTGGCGCAGCGCCTGAAGCCACTAACACGCAGTCTTAGAGGCCTGGATCCCTGAGAAGTTCAAAGGCTAAGGGAAGAGAGAAGGGGAATGAGTTGGACTCCCGGCGTTCATTTCTATAGTGGGAACTCGTTCCTGTCACTTCTGTTCCCACTAACAGGAAACCTACAGGTCACAGAGACCAAAAATAACTGAGGAGAGGAAGGGCGGCTGTAAGCTCACACAGGGCCGGGCCCCACCACCACCACCTGCCTCTTCCTCACTGGGGCTGGAACCTTTTCCTCTGCCCTCTAGTAACAACCACTTCCTAACCACCTTTTTTGCTCTGATGGTGGGGTAGACTAAAGAGAGAAACTATGACCGCGGCCACTGGAGCAGTCAGCCCCCTCTTACCCAACTAGTCCTCAGGCCCCTAGCAAACACTCCCCAGTCCTTCCCAGTCTCCATAACACCAACGGCTTGGATTTCCTGTTCCTTCATTATAAGCCATACTTCCCAGACCCTGACCTGGAAACTGTGGACTCAAGGTTCACTCCCAGATTACTGGGGAAAGCAGCAAACAAGAAGCGGAGGTAGGGAGGGAGGCTGTGTAGTCTTAAAAAACATATTGAGCCTTAAATAATTTTATATGTGGGAAATAAAAGTAATCATCAATAATACACACATATACTTTCTAAGAGTCAAAATGTCAGCTGGTGGGGAATATGCCAAAGATGCAGAAATTGGTGTGGCTGTATTCCATAGTGATTAAGAACTCGGTCTTTAGAATCAGATCACAGTTCCAGTCTTTTATTTATTTATTTATTTTGAGACGGAGTCTTGCTCTGTGGCCCAGGCTGGAGTGCAGTGGCATGATCTCAGCTCACTGCAACCTCCGCCTCCCAGGTTCAAGTGATTTTCCTGCCGCAGCCTCCTGAGTTTCTGGGATTACAGGCTCCCATCACAACCGCCCAGTTAATTTTTGTATTTTTAGTAGAGACAGGGTCTCACCATGTTGGCCAGGTTGATCTCGAACTCCTGACCTCAAGTGATCCACCAGCCTTGGCCTCCCAAAGTGCTGGGATTACAGGTGTGTGTCACCGTGCCCGGCCCACAGTTCCGATCTTGGCTTCATTACTTAACTCCATCAAGATGCTGAATCTCTCAGTGGGTTTCCCCATCTGTAAATTGGAGTTAATAGTACCTACTATTAAGGGTTGCCCGTGGGGTTCAGTTAGAAAATCCACGCACTGAAATGCTTAGTTTATGTCCTGACATGCAGCAGGAGCCAAGTAATGTTAGCTTAGCTGGTCTTATTGGTCTTATTTTCAACAGGGGATAAGCTGCTGTAGTGGGAGGTGAAGGAAGGTTTTAGTTTAGTGTTTTTTTTTTTTTCTGAGATGGAGTTTTGCTCTTGTCGCCCAGGCTGGAGTGCAATGGCATGATTTCAACTCACTGCACCCTCCACCTCCTGGGTTCAAGCGATTCTCCTGCCTCAGCCTCCCGAATAACTGGGACTACAGGTGTTTGCCACTACGCCCGGCTAAATTTTTTTGTATTTTTAGTAGAGACGGGCTTTCATCATTTTGGTCAGGCTGGTCTCGAACTCCTGACCTCAGATGATCTGCCTGCTTTGGCCTCCCAAAGTGCTGGGATTACAGGCGTGAGCCACCACGCCTGGCCGTTTTTGTTTTTTGATTAAAAAAAAAAAAAATCAAATCCAGGTCATGGGTTTAAAAAGATTGAGAAAGAACCACTGCGATGGTTTGAATGTTACCTCCAAAAACTCATATTGAAACTTAATCCCCAACATGGCAGTACTGAGAGGTGGAACCTTTAAAAGGGGATTGGATGGGATTAATGGATTAATGAATCCCCATGAATTAGCCCACCATAGTGGATTAATAGGTTAACAGACTAACCCCATCATAAAGGACTAATAGGTTAATAGATTAATGGGTTATCATGGGAGAGGAATTGCTGGCTTTTTCAGAGAGATCTGACCTAGAACATTAGCATGCCCAGCCCTCTTTGCCATGTGACACCCTGTACCACAGAGAGCCCATATCAGCAAGAAAACCCTCACTCGAGGGTGAGGCCCCTGGACCTTGGATTTCTCAGCCTCCACACTGTAAGAAATAAATTCATTTTCTTTACAAATTACCCAGTTTCAGATAATCTGTTGTAAGCAACAGAAAATGAACCGGATGAGACAGAAAATTGGTACCCAGAAGTGGGGTATTGCTGCTAATGAATACCTGAAAATGATGAAGTGGCTTTGGAAGTGGGTGATGGACAGAGGCTGGAAGCATTTGGAGGAGTAGGCTAGAAAAAGCCTAGATTCTGGTGAGAGCTTAGAAGACAAGAAGACTATGAAAAGCTTGGAATTCTTTAGAGATTGGTTAAGTGTTTGGGACTAGAATGTTGATAGAAATATGGAAGCAGCTGGGCGTAGTGGCTCACGCCTGTAATCCCAGCACTTTGGAAGGCTGAGGCAGGCAGATCATGAGGTCAGGAGATTGAGACCATCCTGGCCAACATGGTGAAACTCGTCTGTACTAAAAATACAAAAATTAGCTGGGCATGGTAGCACGCGCCTGTAACCCCAGCTACTCGGGAGGGTGAGGCAGGAGAATTGCTTAAACCGGGGAGTCGGAGGTTGCAGTGAGCTGAGATAGTGCCACTGCACTCCAGCCTGGGCGAAAGAGCGAGACTTCATCAAAAAAAAAAAAAAAAGAAATATGGAAGCAAAAGCCATTCTGGTGAGCTTTCAGATGGAACAGAGGAGCAAGGTATTGAAAACTGGAGTAAAGGCCATCCTTGTTACGAACTGGCAAAGAGCTTGGCTGAACTGTGTCCATGCCCAAGGGCTTTGTGGAAGGCTGAACTTGAGGGTGATGAACTAGGGTATCTGGCAGCCAGAAGAAATTTCTAAGCAGCAAAATGCTGAGGCTGCTGTGTGGTTTCTTCTAACTGCTTATGATGATCTCACAGAGAAAAGGGAAACAGAGTGGAAAAATTTGGAAAATTCTCAGCCTGGCCATGTGGTAGAGAATGAAAGAGCGTTTTCAGGAGATGAATCCAAGGGTGTGGCCAAGCCACTGCTTGCTAAAAAGATTAACATGGCTAAAAGGGAGCCAGGTGCTATTCCTCAAGAAAATGGAAGAAAGTCCCTGAAGTCATTTCAGAGGTCTTTGAGGCTGCCCCTCCCATCACAGGCCCAGCGGCCTTGGAGGACAGAGGGTTTCAGGGGAAACCTGCGTGTTCTCCATGGGCTCACTGCCCAGGGCAACCTCAGGACTCTACACCCCACACCCCAATGTAGCACTCTGTGGCCCCCCCCAGCCTGGTGGTAGCTTAGGTAGCCCCAGGTGTTGCTTTTTTGTGTGTGTTTATGTGTGTGTGTGTGTGTTGCTTGTGTTGAAGCTCCAGAAGGTGCAAATCATAGACCTTTACTGCATCCTTGTGGTGCTAATTCTGCAGTCTTGCAGAAAGTAAGAGCTGTGAAGGCTTGGCAGCCTCCACACGGATTTCAAAGGACGTTGTTGAAAGCCTAGGGGCCGGGGCAGAGACTTGTCATGGGGCAGAGCCACCGCAGAGAACCCCCACCAGAGCAATGCCCAGCAGAAATGTGATGTTGAAGTTGCCTCAGAGAGTGCCTGCCAGGACAGTGCCTATTGGAATTGTGGAAGCGAGGCCACTGCAGGGTCCCCCCCTGGGGTAGTCCTTGGTGGAGCCATAGGAACAAGGCCAATGCAGAGAGTCCCCAGGAGGGCAATGCCTAGTACAGCCGTGGAAGCAGGACCACCACCAGGCCCCCAGAACTTTGGAGTCACAGGCAGCAGGCAGTGCCCCACCCCGCTCCCAGGAAACTTCAGGCACCAGACTCCAACCCACCCACCAAAGCTATAGGGGCTGGGTTGCCTGAAGCCTTGGGGAGCCAACTCCCACCCTGTGTTCAGGAGGCTCCGCATGTAGTCAAAAAAGATTATCCTCTACCTTTGAGATGTAATGTTGGCCAGGCGCGGTGGCTCACACTTGTAATCCCAGCACTTTGGGAGGCCGAGGCAGGCAGATCACAAAGTCAGGAGTTCGAGACCAGCCTGGCCAACACAGTGAAACCTCATCACTACTAAAAATACAAAAATTAGCTGGGTGTGGTGGTGGGCACCTGTAATCCCAGCTACTTGGGAGGCTGAGGCAGAAGAATCGCTTGAACCCAGGAGGCAGAAGTTGCAGTGAGCCGAGATTGTACCACTGCACTCCACCCTGGGCGACAGAGCTAGACTGTGTCTCAAAAAAGAAAAAAATAGAAAAGGTGTAATGTTGGCCCTGCTGGGTTTCATACTTTCTTGGGGCCTGTTTCACCTGTTTCTTCTTGCCAATTTCTCCCTTTTGGAATGGGAATGTGTACGCTGTGCTTGTTCCCACCATTATATCTTGGAAGTAGATAACTTGTTTCATAACTTGGAAATAGATAACTAGCTCACAGGTGAGTCTTTGATGCTGCAATGAGTGAAGACTTTGGGATTACGGGAATGGAATGAATGTATTTGTATGTGAGAAGCACATGAGTTTTGGGGACCCAGGGACAGAATGCTATGTTTTGCATGTCTCCTCCAAAAATTCATATGGAAGCTTTCGGTCCTCAACATGACAGTATTGAGAGCTGAGGCTTTAAAGAGATGATCAGGTGCCGGGCACGGTGGCTCGCGCCTGTAATCCCAGCACTGTGGGAGGCCGAGGTGGGTGGATCACGAGGTCAGGAGAACGATACCATCTTGGCTAACACGGTGAAACCCATCCCTACTAAAAATAGAAAAATTAGCTGGGTGTGGTGGCGGGTGCCTGTAATCCCAGCTACTCAGAAGGCTGAGGCAGGAGAATGGTGTGAACCCAGAAGGCGGAGCTTGCAGTGAGCTGAGATCACGCCACTGCACTCCAGCCTGGGAGACAGAGCGAGACTCCATCTCACAACAACAACAACAAAAAACAAACAACAACAACAAAGAGATGATTGGATCCTGGGGTCTCTGCCATTCTTGGATTATGGGTTATCATGAGAGGGGAACTGGTGGCTTTATAAGAAAAGGAAGAGAGGCCTGAGCTGGCCATGTTTGCACACTTGCTACCCCTCAGCTGATACCCTGCGCTGCAGAGAGCCCCCTCCAACCAGAAGAGCATCACCAGATGTGGCCACTTGACCTTGGGCAAAATTTTCAGTGTCCGTAACTGTAAGAAATAAATTCCTTTTCTTTAGAAATTGCCCAGATTCAGGTATTCTATAATAAGCAACAGAAAACGGACTAAGACAACTACAAACTTTCAATGTGGGAGGCAGCTGCAGAGATCGTGGTAACTGACTTTTCCACAGACGAGGAATTTAAGGCCCAGAGGGAGGTAACATCAAAATTAGTGATCTCCGCACCCAGCACACATACAGGACGGGGGAAAGGGTGGGAGAGATGCATGCACTGGACCCTGGATAGATTCAAGATACCCTTGCTGGGGGAGGGTGGGCTGGCACGTTAGTTCCAACTCAGTCTTCTCAGTGCCACCGCCAGCCCCTGTGGTCCTTAGGGAACCAAAATCCTATCCATTTTCCTTGGTGATGGAGGCATGTCCCGAGCATTAAGATCCCTAGCACAGATGCACGCCCCAGCCTCTTGATATTATTAGTGGCTTCCTGGTTTCTCCCTGCCGCCTCCACACCTCAGGCAGGAAGTGACTTCAGAGCAGCAGGATGCAGGTGGCTCCGGAGAAACTTCATGAAGTCACTGGTTCCTACACAATGAGCAGGAAGGCAAGGGCAGGGAAAGGGACAACGAGGACCATTTAAAAGGTCTGGTGGGAAGGGACAGCAGAATGGTACAGAATCCCAGATGTTGTCCAGGAGGAAGAGCTCTGTTCCTCGCTCCCCAAGACCCGAAGGCAAGAACCCAGGACACAGCAGGCAGCACAGAGAGGCTTCTTTATTCCAAGGATCTCATCTTGCAAGATCTAACATTTCTATCCCCAGGCATTCTCCACCTGCCCATCCAATCTGCTAAATATAAATCATGGTTCCTTCTTACAGACTCCTCCACCTTCCCTTCTTTCTTCTTTAATTCTGCAATGGGGTCATGGGGAGAAAGAGGGAAGAAGGACAAGAGTAGCTTTCTCACTAGTCCCCAGGTGACAGCCACTAAAACTGACTTATCCTTGAAGTTCTACCCCATAAATTCAAAAGTGCTTCTTACTTTCTACCCTTGTCCCATAATCAAATAGGCCCCAGGGCAACAAGGGGCAGAACTACAAATCAAGGCTTCAGGACATCTTCTAACATTTCAGAGCCTCCACCCAGCCAAGAGGCAACCCCATTCCTAACTTTCTACCTACCCGGCCTACACCAGAAACGGCACCCCTCAACCAACCTCTTAATCCTACTTGAAACTTGGTCAACTAGAACAGGCCTTTGGCCTATCAGCTAGCCAATCTTTTCTGTAATGCCAGCAATAATCCCAACCAAACTACAGCAAACCCAGAATAGAACTCAGCCCCTTTTCTTTTCCTATGGAAGGTTCTAACGCATTCACTGGTTCCAGACAGGAATGCAGTGATGGGAAGACCAGGTCACAGACCCAGCTTTTATAAGGTAAGGTTACCAAGCACCATCACTTCTAGAGGCAAAGAAGGTTCTGGCATCTGGACACTTGCCAGAAGATATCCAAAACCTATTAAAGAAGGGCTCAACTCAATAGAGAGAGCCCCAAGTAACATTCAAACCCAGATGCCTCTAGTAAAGGATGGGTTAACACTCTTCACCATCTAATCAAGCCAAAGAGTTTCATGATTCTTCCCTAGGTCATAACATTCACAGAGACTGGGCAGAGTCAGAAAAAGTCACATCATCTCTGATAAGGAATGTCTGATCTCTCCCCCATGGAGCGATGAACTCAGTGCTAAGAACAGGCCCCCGTGGGAGGACGATGGACTCAACTTGAGCCCTGGTGGGTCTCTGCCATTATAGATGAATACAGTAGAGCCAAATCCAAGTGACCAGATTAATGGGTCATTTTAGATTCTGGACCATGTTGCAGAAAAAGCTGCCAGCCTCCACTTGGAGTGATACAGAATCTAGATACAGAATCCCCTGCACCCACAGCTTCCAGGAGGCATTTATTATTACCTCCATTTTGGGCTCAATATAATGGTTCCTATCACCCTTGAAGAACAGAGAAAGTCTGCATCCATTGCTAGACTGCTAGAGAACCTACAACATCCAGAATACCAGAGAGGGTTTCTGACCCAATTCCACAATCCCGCATGTTCCCAGAGCTGCCCTAGAACAAATAAAGGTTCCAGACCTAGAATTACAGGGGCAGGACACAGAGAACCCCTTTTTCCATTTTAAACAAACTAACAAGCAAACAAGAACAAGTCTAAGGATAAAAGTTATGACAGAATTAATATAAAATACCCAAGCCAAAGGAGAGAGCCCAGGCTAGTAATCTCTGCCAGCAGAGCTGTGATCTCACCTTCTGTGTTTCTGGTCACTTTCAATCACACTTGTGGAAGAGGGGAGTGGGAAATGCAATTGAATGAAGGCCCTGATGCCACCCAAAGGCCTCAATAAATTATATTTACAGATAAACTGAATGCAATGGGGGCCACAGGTGGAGGGCTATTCCCTTGGGGAGACCAGGACTCCAATCTCTCCCCTTTCCCAGCCCCTAGCTAGCTCTCTCCTCAGAAACAATCTGGCTTGTGGGGAAGAGGTTTTGACCAGCAAAACAGAGGCAGATCTAGCCGGGATCTGCCACCCCCTGCTCTCCCCAGCGAGAAATTAAGATGGTGGCAATTTCTGATACCAAAGTGGCCTTGCACACCCCTATGCCCAAGCCTGATAGGGAAGCAAGGCCTGGGCCTGCAGCTTTCCCACCCACAGGAAGCAAGTGGGGTCTGGGCCTGCGCTCAGCTAGGGCCCCCCCAGAATGTGGTAGTGCACTTTGGTGTTGGTAGCAGCTCCGTGTTTCTGGCGCAGATGCAGCCGCAGTTGACTCTTGTGCCGGAAATGCAGGCCACAGGGGTCGCACTGTGGGAGGACAGCTGGGTCAGGTCCTGCCTCATCCACAATCACCTTTTAGGTGTTGAGCCGGGGCAGAGGGGGGGCCTGTCCAGTTCGCCCAAGAGGGAACTGTCCAGCGGAAGATCAGCTCTTTGACTCTCACATCCAAATCCTCAGGGGTGGCTGACGGGATAGACCCTGCCTTATTTAGCAAAGGTTCTCCCGCTTGTAGCTCCTCTCTGAGAAAACAGCGCTCAGCCCAGAGGCATCACTTCTATACCCGCCCATCCCTACTCCCAGCCTCCATCCCTTATTTGCTTGGACTCTTCCGGCCACCACTCATTTCTAAGGATCCAGGGACAGCCAGGCCTGCACCTCTCAGAGCCCACCCCTCGGCAAAGCAGAGGTAATTCTAAGGCACTGGGCAGGCCAGGTTGGGTACCCACGTGGTAAGGCTTCTCTCCGGTGTGGATGCGAACGTGGCTCTTGAGGGTCTGCAGGTGGCGGAAGCGGGTTCCGCAGGTAGGGCAAGGATAGGGCTTCTCCCCCGTGTGGATCAGCACGTGCGCCCGCAGATGTGCCACCTGGGAGGGAGGAGACTTCAAGTCCTGTCTCTGAGAGGGACAGATCCCTCCCTATTGGCCCACCCCACCTCTTGTGGGTTTGCCTTGGAAGCCACTTGGAGGCTGGCTCCGTACCTGTACAAAGCGTGAGCCGCACGTCTCACACTTATAGGGCTTCTCTCCTGAATGGATGCGGCTGTGCGTTTTCAGGTTTGCTGGCCGGTTAAAACGGGCTCCGCAGATTGAGCAGTGGTAAGGCTTTTCCCCTGGAGGCAGGGAAGATGGGGGGTCAGGGACTCTGCCCTAGGACAGCTGTGGGCTGGACGGCCAGGGCCCTCTCCTCCCCTACCTGTGTGCACTGTGCGGTGACTGGCCAGGTTGCCCTTGTAGCGGAATGAAGACCGGCACAGCTGACACTTATAGGGCTTGTCTTCATCCCCAGGAACCAAGGGGTCCAGCCCCGATGAGCACCCAGCCACAGCCTCACAGTTCTGGCAGCTGAAAAATTCACTTCCTGGGAAGGGGAGTGGGTAAGGGCAACCATAGTTACTAATGAGGGCTATCTAGGTACTACTGAAACCTCAAATCACGCAGTAGCGGGCTTTCTTTTTCCCAATTTATTGTTAAGACTTCTGGGGCTGGTTCGCCTTGCTCAAGGCCAAGTAAGGAGATAGTAAGATGAGCCAGATCTGACTCCACATCCGTCTGACTTGAGTACTCAGCTAATCTCCTCTTCAATAGCAGTGGTGGTGGCCAGGCGCGGAGGCTCACGCCTGTCATCCCAGCACTTTGGGAGTCCATGGCGGTCGGATCACAAGGTCAAGAGATGGAGACCATCCTGGCCAACACGGTGAAACCCGTCTCTACTAAAAATACAAAAATTAGCCGGGCGTGGTGGTGGCGCACGCCTGTAGTCCCAGCTGCTCGGGAAGCTGAGGCAGGAGAATCGCTTGAACCTGGGACATGGAGGTTGCAGTGAGCCAAGATCACGGCACTGCGCTCCAGCCTGGCGATAGAGTGAGACTCCATCTCAAAAAAAAAAAAAAAAGCAGTGGTAGGTGGAGGCCCCTGCTAGTGGGAGGAGTTTTCAGTTTCTCCTCCTTTTTTTCTTTTGTTTTTGTTTTTTTTGTTTTTTGAGATAGGGTCTCGCTGTGTTGCCTATGTTCGAGTACAGTGGTGTGATATCGGCTCACTGCAGTCTCCACCTCCCAGGTTCAAGCGATCCTTCCACTTTAGCCTCCTGAGTAGCTGGGACTACAGGTGCGCACCACCATGCCTGGCTAATTTTTATTTTTATTTTTTGTAGAGACCAGGTCTGACTATGTTGCCCAGGCTGGCCTTGAGCTCCTGGGTTCAAGTGATCCTCCTGCGTTGGCCTCCCAAAGTGCTGGCATTACAGGCATGAGCCACCGTGCCTGGCTAAAATCTCCTCCTCACCGGCACCACTCTGAATGACAGCCTGCCAGAGAGGCCCTGACAAGCTTTGGGCTGATCATTCAGCTCCGAAAGAGGATAGGCCAGAAATTCTCAAACTTTGCTGCTCATTGGAAGCACTTGGAGAGCTTTAGAAAAATACTGATGACTCGTTCCCAGGTCCAGATATTTCAGTCTATGGAGTGTGACCTGGGCGGTGAGAGTTTAAAAGCTTCCTAGGTGATTCTAATTTGTAATAAAGTTTAGGAACCATTGGAATAGGCCTTTCTGGGGGGCTTTTTTGGCACAAACTTGCCTGGAGCAGTCATGGGAGAAAAGCCAGGAAAGAGGGTCTCTTACCCGGTAGCGGTCGAGCCCGCTCAGAGGGTGATCCAGAGGTGTCTTGAGCCTGGGATGTGAGGAGGTGGGGGGTACTGGCCGGAGCCCCACATTTGAACTGCACAGTGGCAGCAGTTGGAGAGAGCCTAGGCAGATGGCAAGGCCCAGGGGAAAGGGTTAAAAGAGATTGTATGGATGGGGGATGGGGGTTCTCTCCTGGGAAATTTGGAGCCAAAGGCCTGCCCTCTGGAGGTGAGCCAATATTGTTGACCAATGAGCCACATCCATCGTACTGCCCAAGTGCCACCCTGCTGAATAAACCTGGTCTCTGGCCAGCTTCTTAAGGTGAGCTAGTGTCTCTGAAACGCACCCCCTATTTCCCTTCATCCTTCCTCCTGACCACGAAGGCCCAATGATTCTGTCTTCTAGCTGAGGTCAGCTCTGACAAATTCTTGAGGTTCTAGACTCTGTACCTGCTCTGGGGACCAGGAATGGGTCCTTCTTCACTGCTGCTGCTGCTGGAGGCCTCATCTCCACTGGGGAGCCTGGCTTGGGGGCAAGGTTGACCAGAACTCCTCTCCCCGACTAGGCTCCCTGCTTGGGAGGTCTGAGAGTTTAGCACGATGTACTTGTACTTTTTCCAGTTGCAGGCCTTGGGGTCGGGGCTGGCTGGACTGGGGGGGCCTTGACTGCAGCTTCGAGATTCAGTAGGTGGGTCTGGGTGTCCTTCGGAGCGCCTGGGACTGCCTGGTGGAGGGGCCGTTGGGGGTGTTGGGGGTTCTGCTTCCAGGGGCCGCAGGGAGATGCCCAGAGGTTCATAGCTGGGGAAAGTGTGATGAACGTTAGTGCCATTGCCTAATCTCTGCCTTTGCCCTTAATACCTCACCCACAGAGAACGCTGAGCCGGGGTCCCTCACCTGGCCTGGATGAAGCGGTGGCATGCCTGGACCACGTGCTCCATCTGCAAATAGGTGGCGGCCGCAAGGACTGCAGGTGCAGTGGCCGGAGAGAGGCGCAGGCGGGAAGTGTACATGAAGTCCAGTAGGGGGGCGAAGCCTCTCGCTTCGGGACCCCCGGGCAGAGAGAGCACGTCCACCCCGACTCCCGCACGGCCCCGGAAAATTGAGTAAAAGAAGCCACTGGAGAGAGAGCAGATAGGTCCCTTAGGGGCTGGGGAACCAAGGGAGACACGCGCCGCTTTAGGAAGCCCCGCCCCCTGAAAAGTCCCGCCTCCTCACTATCACCCCGCCCCCAATTCTCGGACGCTCCTCCTCCTGCTTCTGAAAGACTTGGCTTCGGATTCCCTTTCAAAGGCCCTGTGGTCCCACCCCTTTCCCATTTGGCCCCGCCCCTGCCCCACCCCTCGAACCTGCAGGCTATGAGAACTGCCTTGTGTGCCCTGAGGGGTTGCCCGCCAACCAGCAGCGTGACGTCAGTGAGGATCCCGCGCAGGCGCAGCTCGTTGAGGTTGCCCAGCACGTCGGAGGAGTGGCGAGTGAACTCGCGGACGTAGCCCAGCGCTCCCTCCGGGGCGGCGGGGGAACCCATAGCGACGCAGGCCTGTAGAGGCCGTGGAAAGTGCTCTGGATCCAGGCAGTTCTAAGACGCCTTCCCTCCTCTGTTTGCCTTTTCCTTCCGTGGTGCAGCTAGAGCCAGGGCCTCCAGCCCCTAGCCCCGGCACACGCAGCCTCCCTCCTAATTCTTCTTGTTCATTATACCCTCTACGACACCCTCGCTCCCTTGCCTCTTCCAGATCCCACAGCGCTTGGAGCCAGCTGAAGGTTCCACACCGCTGCGTCGTTGGCGAGCGTGGGGAATCCCGCGCCCATCGCCCTGGGTTCGACTCCCAGTGCCCCTCCAGCACCGCCACTCCCTTCTGCCCGCCTGTGTCTCAGGTGTCCGACCCTGCCTAGAGATCTGACGGCCTGCCGTCCACACACCTCCAAACCCCAGCCGAGGCTCTCTCCCCCGAACTACGGAATTCTGCGACTCCTATCTAGTCCCCAGATCCCTAGCTTAGCCCAGTTTCTGGGGCTCAGGCTTGCTGATGGCAAGCTCCACACGAGCTCCAACCCTCTTGGGGGACCCAGGAGTCTGGCTCCCTCAGTCTCTTGTTCTTACCCCCGTCCTGCAGGGGCCCGTCTTCTCTTCTTAAGGGGGGCGGGGTCTCTCTCCCCTCTTGGCCTGGGCTCCTTTATCTGGCCGGGATGTCGGGGGCGGGGGTGGAGGTGGGGTGAACGCCTGGGTCTGTATCCTTCCTTCCTCCCTCGCTCTCCAGATGGCGAGCCCAGGGCGGGGTCTCCGTCTCGAGGGCGGGACCTCAGAAACAAGGGGTGGTCGTAACGTAGGGGGTCTTGGGTCACTGCAAGTGGACACGAGGACGGGGATATTGGAATTGGGGAGGAGGTTAGGGATATCGAGGTTGGAAATACGGGAGTCTGAGTCGTCGGAAGGCCTGGGCCAGTGAAAATTGGTGTTTTGGCTTTTGGGAGGGTTTGCCAGGAGCAAAGTGCATACGGCACCCCCTCTCCCCTTCTTGTACTGTGTTAAGGGAGAAAAGGGGGATCCCAACGAGAAAGCAGGTTTGGGCAGACGACAGTGGGCTCCCGTGGGGTCTCAGACGGGGAAGGGTGTGGTGTGAATGACAGGCTCCTGTACCCGGGCCTACAAAAAGGGGGGCTCTGGCCGGGCGGGGTAGGGAGAGGGCGGATATGATTTCTAGTCGGTTTCCTTCCATTGTCCTGCGACCGGACGGCTCCGCCAGCTGCTTCCCCTCGAGGAGGTGGGGAAAGCCCCGAGGTGGGGGTGGAGGGGCGAGAGACGCTCGGGAGACCCAGGCGTCCGGCCTATCTTGCTCCCGACTCTCTTCTGAGTCCTTGTAGGGATCCAGAGAGACGGACTCCCGCCCAAAGCCCGCTCGCTTTCCCCCAATCCCAGCTCAGGAGGGCCTCGGGCACCCGCCCGTCGGCTACGCTTGAAGGCTGGCGGGACGCCGGGGTCCAGCGCGGCAAGTAGGCAAGGCTCTGCAATGTGCGGCTCCTTCCACGAGGGGGCGGCCGAGCACTGGCCTCGCCTCGCCCCTCGTCTCCACCCGGCCGGGGGTGCGCTCAGACCCGGGCGCAGGATCCATTCGGTCTGGGCGGCTGAAACCTTTAGCCTCCTCCCGTTTGCGCGGGTTTATTTTGCACCTCTGTCTCCTAGGAGGGGACTAGGGTTGGGCGGAGGGAGCTAGAGTTAGGGGACCGAGGGGACTTTCTCCTCAGGCTGGGGTTCCTACCTGAGGTGAGAAATCGTGGGCTTTAGGAGCCAGGGGAATGGGTGCGACAAGAAGGGGGACCTGAGCCTGGGAACTCCGGGTTTCTTTTCGAATTAAGCTAGACACTGCTACCCAGATGTCTTTGGAGGTGACTTTTAATTGCACATTAATATTAAAATTGGGTGGGGTAAACAAGAGAAGGGAAAACGAGGAGAAGGGAGAGAGGGCAGGAGGGGGCTTAACAACCCTAATTTGAAGTCCCTGATCTGAGAGATGGGCATGGATCACACCCTCATATTTTGTTTCGGGAGACATTGCGGGGAGGCAAGGCAAAGCTCATTTGGAGAAGGGGTGCTAGAGCTGAATCCAGCTGCAAGGCAGAAGCTCCCCGGATTTGGGCTGGGAAGAGTGTACAGTCGGCCAGGATTGACCGGCCATGGTCCATGAGGCTAGATATCAGGCCGGGGGCCCTCGCCTTCAGACCGGAGTGTGTCTTTATTTGAATGCATGAAAGAACAGCTGAGAAACCGGGAATTGGGAAATTCAGGACGATGAGGTGACGATGAGGTGGCTTTGACATGTGAGGGTTATTTAGGTCTCTGCCCAGCCTGGAGATGAGAATTAGACTAAGGGCTCCCTTTGGCATCAGGATGGAGTATTATTTGGTCAGTTGTGGGGTGCCTGTTTATTATGGGGTGTTGATTTGATTGTGAGCACCGGTGGCTGCATTCAGCCTTTGAGGCCTATATGGTAAGTTTCAGGTATGGGGCTGACTTTGAAGCTACATTAGTTCTGCGGGTTCTGACACCCACAATTTGGAGATTGTGCTCATCTGTGTCATTTTGGACTATCAGCAGAACCAAAGTACTCATGCCGATTTGGGGGTGCAGTCTATTTTGGGGTGCCATCTACGTTTCAAGGCTCAGATTAGATTTGGGGGATAAGAAGTTCAATTTGGAGTTTTAAAAATTAGTTTGAGGTGGAACATTATAGGAAGCTGGGAGCAAGTTCGAGGCTATCTGTGATTGGGGGTCTGGGGAGGGGGGAGCAAACTTTTGTATTTGAGTCTTGTGGAAACTCATGTTCCACAAAGTGGAAAGACGTGGGGTATTCCAGTGTATCTATGGATACCCAAGAAGCTTTTTCCCTGGGGGAGAAACAAGGTGAGGGCCGCGAGGACAGGAGACTAAAGTTCTGGGGTGTCCTTATTTTGGGGGTGTTTTGTCACTCTGGATGCTTTTGGTGAAGCTAAGGGATAATCATAAGGTGAGACTGATTTGGGGGTTCACGTAATTGGGACCCTGGTTTGGGATGTCTTTTGCTTATAGTACCCTCTCACCCCAGATTCGAGAAGTTTCTTTAGTGAACCCCCAAATAAGCCCAGGATTTGAAGGGAGAAACTTGGAAAGGGTGTGGTATCTCCTTTTATTATTATGTGGCTTGAGGGAGAAGTGAGGGAGAAAAGGCGGTTTCAGGCTCTGAATCCCAATTTCTTAAGGGAACACCCCTTAGTTTGGGGGAAGTTGGAGGAAAACGGGGTGTCCCTTCACAAAGTGGACACCCCTGACAAGGGCAGTGCTGTTGGAAGTGTGGCAAGGAGGGGTGCTGGTGGGGTACAAGGAGGTGATTCTTGTACCCTGATTTTCTAGGATGAGCCCCAAACAGAAAGCAGACAGAGGACTGAGAGTGTGGGTGAGATGGGGGGGAGGGGTTCCCCACGGCAGCCGGGGCTACAGGGTAAGCCAGGCCAGCTCTTCGCGCCTGGGTCCCTTCTCTCTTCGGCTCTCCTCCCCTCTCTCCCTCCCACCGCCCACCCCCCCAACCCAAGAAAAAAAAACTGCCTGTGCAACAGCAATGGCAGATTCCAATCCTCCAGGCTTTCCTAAACCACCACGGAGACCAGCCAGGGGGGAGGGGAAGGGAGGAACGGGCTTTCCTGCTTCCTTAAGACAGGGGCAATGAGCTTGACCTCCTGGCCCCTAGCCCTTTGAGGAGTGCTTCCCCCCGGTCTGGAAGCCAGGTGTCCTGGACCCTAGCCCCCGAGCGGTGGGGGGGGCCTGGAGAGACGGGGAGGAGGAAGGAGGGAGTGACTTCCAAAATTGGCATCGGGACAGAGCAGGGCTGGCGGGAGGCAGGCAAAAGACGGAATTTTCCTGAAAAAACGGGGGTATCTGAGGACCCCAAATTTGGGGAGCTAGTCCAGGACCGTTCTCCCAACATCCTAGATTTTTTTGGGATTTTTTGGGGACCCCGGGACCCCTCTAGATGGGGTGAGGAATGTAGTGTTGGGTGAATCTGACTGGGGCATTGCAGCTGCCTCTCCCGCCGAGTTGGAGACGGATGGGCTGGGACGGGTTTTGGGGGGGTGTCCCCAATTCTGACTGGGAGTGGAGGAACCCCTCCTGAGCTCTCTTGTGGGGGTGCCCCCTCCCCAGGGCACTCCCCAGTCCCTGAGCCAGCCGAGAGGAAGGAGGCCAGCGATGCGACTGGGGCGGTTCCTTTCTCCTGCACCCCAAATGTGAGGGATGCACCCTAAATTTTGCTCTTTTCAAAATAGGGGACCAGGATCTCAGGGGAGAGTAGCTGAGGTAAGTGGGGAGGGAAGTGTCCTCTGTTTTCAGGAGAGACGTGGCGGTTGGGGGGGAGGTTTGGAGGTGCGTGCTGGGGTGGGGTTGGCTTTGTCAGTCTTGGAATTGGGGGGATGATTGGAGAGGCTTTCTCTTACACCCCTAAACTGCAGCCCCCCAGACGGAAACCAAAGGCTGAGACCAGAGAGCCCCCCAACATCCCCAGCCGTTAGGATAGTGTTTAATTTCTCTTTCACCCCCCACAAAGGCTCTGCCGAGGTGGGAGCTGGGGGCAACTGTTAGCTTGGGGGCTATGGAGGGTGGTGGAGGAGCAGGCGGCCTTGGCAAGATTTGATGGAGGACAGATAGGGGTGTCCGGGAGGGCTCTGGCATCTTCGGGGGCCTAAAAAGACTGCTTACATACACCACCTTAGATCTTTCAGATTGCTAAGAGTTTTGGGGGGTGTGTCGGAAGAGGGGGTGGTAAAAGATGCGATGGGATATGAGAAGATAACTTCTGGATTTTAGAGGGTCATATTTTGATTTGCAGAAGGGATTTTGGTCCTTGGATTTTGCTTTCCGAGGGGTATTTTTAAAAAATCAAGTCTTGGACAGGAGGAAAGGGCTGAGGGAAGGCCTGGAGTTGGGGGTGGGGAGAGCCATGTTTGTCTCAGCTTAAACGTGGCTCCCTGGGGTGGGCCCGCCTGCCCTGGCCTGGTGGATGGACTGATGGACGTGGCTGTGGGGGCCAGCTCGGGTCCTGGGGGGCCCTGGGGAGTGGGAACAGCACTGGGGGTTGAATACCTGGCCCCCCAGGTCCAGATGGCCCTCTTCCTGGTCTCTGCTGCTCCCCTTCCCCCTGGTCTCCATTTCCTGCCTTTGGCCTCCATCTTGTGGCAGGCCCAGGGCCCAGGGCGACTTCCGGCCCCCCTCTCCCAGCCATGTTCCGGCCCCACCACCTCTGGACTGCCAACTCCCAACCCTGCTGGCCTTGGCCCTCTGTCTCTCCTTGCTTTTCTCTTGGGTTCTGACCCCGGGAGAGGAAGGACGGACACAGGAAACCTTGGGTCCCTGCCCTTGCTGAGACAGGAGGCAGTGTGTTGGTCCCCCCAGTCATTGCCTATTTCTTTTGCCTCTGACCCCACCCTAGGGATCCCCTGAGCTGAGTTCCTACAAAGGGAAGATGGTCCAGTCTTCCTATACTATGAGCTCATCCCTGTGGTCCATCACCTTCCAGTTGCCTGCTCAGTCCGTCCCTGGTTCCTCCCAAACGTTTTTGGGGGCCATGTTTGCCTTTTAAGGCTTCTCTATCCCCCCGCTCCTGGAGGCGGTGCTGGGGTCTTCCCGGCACTGCTGTGTGCTCTCTTCCTCTCAGCCCACCCCGGTCCTGCTCCCGCCCCAGCAGCACACTGTGGTTTGTACGGCACTGTGGCCACGTCCAAACCACACTGTGGTGTTAGAGCGAGGGTGGGGGAGGCACCGCCGAGGCTTGGCCCTGGGAGGCCATCCTGGAGAAGTGACACAAAAAAACATCTGGGGCCTTGTGACAAACTTCTTGCCAGGTGGGGAAGGAGAGGGTGGGGTATGTAAGCACCCCTCTAAAATCTCCAGGAGAGTTTCAAGAATACTGACGGCCAGAGACCCTGGGAGCACGTTCTGCCTCAAGAGAACAAAGTGGGGTCTTTGTTACCCACACCCAGCTTCCCTGGCTCTAGCAGCACAGAAATATTGGCACAGGGAAGCAAGTCTGCCAATATTGGCTGTGCTGCTCCAGGCAGGGTGGTGAAAACTACCGAGGAGGGGCTGAGCCCCCACGGGCCGAGGAGAGAAGAGGGAACAGCCCTCTCCTGCTAATAATGTTAAGCAGACAGCACGAAGCTGAGAGGGAAATCTTTATTGTTTTCTGTATAAAAATGTCCATCAGATGAAGGTCAAGGGGGTCGGGGGCAGATGCTTATGCGGGCACAGCGAGGTGGCAGCCCCAGCAGCCTTTCAGCCCTCTCTCGTGCAGGCCTTGCTCGGAGTCCCAGGAGATCCACAGGTCCAGCGTGAACAGTGAGAGGTCAGAGGTGGAAGGCTCAGCAGGAGAGGAGAGGAGGATCAGCAGAGGTCATGAGAAGGCCAGAATCCAGGGTCAGGCTGTCTGGAACAGGAAGTAAAATGGGCCGAGATGGAGCGAGCCCCCAGTGTGCTTCCGAGGCCACTCCCAGCTCCCTGAAACACCCTGCTACGTACTGACCCAATGCCCTGCGCTGTGTATGAGAGCACCTTCTCTTCCGAAACCCCTGTACGAGGGAGGGGCCCCTGCGGAGACCGTGCCCTGCCATCCAGGTGAGCCCTTTCTCCCCCACCCTGTCAGCTGTGTGGGAGGAGGAGGACTCCTACCCTGGTCGAAGTTGAGTTTCTTAGCTGGAGGAGTTTCTCCTAGCCCTTCAATATCCACCAGGTCACTGTTGGCGTCGGAGTCGTTCAGAGCACTGAGTGTCACATCTGGGAAGGGGGCATAAGCTAGGTTCTAGGTTCCCCTGACGGCCTCTCCCCCAGCCCCGAGCTTCCCAAAGCTTCGTGCCTCCCCTCCCCTCTGCCCCTCTCTGGGAACCTCCACAGGGACAGGAAGAGAGCTTGACCCTTCTTTGACCCAGGCCCAATTCTCTCACTGAACCTCAGATGGACTTTTAACCCCTAGGTAGCAAGTCCACAGCCCTCACCGGCCTTCTGTTTCTTTATGGGGGGACCCCCGGCCTCGGGGACACTGGAGCTGCTGGGAGGAGGGGCAGCTGGAGGAGGTGATAAGACACCAGATGCCACCTTCTTGGGCCCTTTCTTGGGTGACTCAGCTGGAAGGGGGATGCCAGAATCTTCATATACCTTGCGTTTCACAGTGGCCTTTATCTGAGCCCTGAAGAAAAGAGAGAAGAGGTTAGGAAAGGAGTCATCAGAGAGACTAACAGAAGAAGGGAGGGGAGGTGAAGGGGTTCTGGGAGTCCCTTGAAAAGAATCCAGGTCGGGGCCCCAACCCATTGGGAGGGTTCTCACTTTCCCAAAGTTTTACACTCACTCAGGGTGGGTGGAATGTGGAGAGTGGAGTCCCTGAGATGAGTAGTGGGAAAGGCCCATCTCCTCATTCTCTTCCGGGAGAGACATCGGGTAAGGCTTGGTGATTTACAGGTGGATTGGGATTTACTGATCAACTAGTTCAGGATCACCATATCCCTGGAAACACTGCAGTGGAGTCCCCCAAAATTTATATAAATAACCAGGGGACTTCCATCATCAAATACAATAACTGAGCATCTCAGGCAACCTAAATTCACATTCTTGGAAGGACTACCACAGCATTTTAGGAACTTCTGACCAACTGTGACAATTCTGTTCTTTCAGTTCTCAAGGGCATTCTAAAAAACTAGTGACAAAGTAGGGAAGCAGCTGAGCTGGAAAGGAGTTCTGAGGACGATGGAACCTTGGGTAAGGAGGAAGAAGGCTGCCCACCCGCCCTTTTCTGGCAGCCACCCTCCCTCACACTGTCCGTTCCTTGATGACACAGCTGATGTGATTAAGATCGTCCCCAAATCGCTTCACAGCAGCCCTCAGCATCTCTATTTCCGTCTCCGTCCACTTCGCACTGTCAGAAGGGGAGAGGGGGGATAGCAAAAATGGGAGGGGGGGTGTGGAGCCAGCCCACAGGCTATGCATCCCACAGTCAACCAGCCGCCTCCTTCCGACTTCTGGGACCCCTTCCACGGATGCATAAAGAGGTCCTCCATAGGGGCGGGGGACGGGCGGGAAGCTCTTGAGGGCCCTGCGGGAACCTGGAGGACCCCAATCACAAGAAATCACAACCACCTCCACCTTAGACACCCCTTTCCACCATGAACGTTAAACGGCTGCTGTACACAGCACACTGAAACCAACTCGCCAAGAAGGGCTTTTCAAACAGACCCACCAACAGCCTGCAGCCGTCTGGGGGAATTCCATGAACTGGGGTGGTTGGGAGTGGCGGTGGTTTGTGGTCGACCCGTTCGCAGCAGGGAGAACTGTGAAATAGGAGTCTGGGCCATAGGCCTGTCTGTATTTTTATCTATCATTCATTCCCTCATCCAACGATCATTTATTAACACCTACTCTGTGCTGTGCCAGGCACAAAGGGAAACTAACGTCTGTCCCTGTGCTAGAGAGGGTCCGTGTCTGTGACCGAGTCCAAGCGCCCGCTCTCAGCGTCCACGTCCCAGTCCGGGCTCACGTACCCCGCAGGGGAAGAGTCGGCCACAGGATGCAGCTGCATCGTCAGCTCCCCGAGCTTCGTGAAGGCGGCGCCGGCCGCCGAGAAGATCTCTCCGACCTGGGGGCGGGGCAGCGTCACGGGGGGCCGGCGCCCGCCCTCCCCGTCCCGCCTGGAGCCCCTAGCCCCACCCCAGGCTCGGCTCCCGCCCGCCCCCCGCCCGGGGCGGAAGAGCCGCGAGCCAAGTGGGGGGCCCGCCCTCCCGTGGCCGCCAGGGAGCGCTGTCCGCGGGGGAGGTCGAACCTTTGTGGACGCTGACGTCATGGCCCCGCGCGCCTCCTCACGGAGACGCCGCCGCCGCCGCTACACGCGAGCCGGGACCACGGAGAGCAGGGAGACGGAGCGGCTCAGGCCCCCGCGCAGGAAGTCCCGCCCTTCCCGCAGCGGATAGGCTCAACCCTGTGGCTCCCCGCCCCATCAGATGCAGTCGCTTCGACAGCTTCGCGCGCCCAGGCCAAGGGGGAAGCCTTCGCCTCACTTCCGCACCACTTCACTCCACTTCCGCTCAGGGGTCGGGACTCCCCAGGCAGAGGCCGACCTCCAGCCTCAGCCCCGTGCTCGCCCCCACTGAAGCACAGACACAGGGCATAAGAGAGCAGATTCTCTTTATTGAGATACGGGACACAGCGAAGGGTGGAGAGACGGAACAGCCCCCCAGCCTCAGCCCTCTCCACGGGGGCCGGATGCCAGAGATGGGAGAAGAAGAGATTCAGTCTCTCGCCCGGGAAACTCAGTCCCGCAGAGGGTGCCGGCAAGGGTGGGACGCGACCCGGGTGACGCGGTGCAGGGAGTCTTTAAATAGAGGAGGGGCTGGAGCGGGGAAGGGCGCCCGGGCCCTAGCGCACCATGTATTCCTTGCGCTTATTGAGCCGAACTTGGCAGAAAGAGAAGCCTCCGAGGAGGAGGTAAAGGCCCGCGGCGATGAAACAGTTGTAGCTGACTTGCTCGTAAAGGTTGTATATGTTCTGGGGGCCATTCCTGGGGGTGGGAATGAAGCAAAGGTGTCAAACGTTAATAGCAGCCAACGTTTGCTGAGCAGTATGTGCCCAGCACCTGTCTAGGCGCTGTTACGTGTATTACTTTATTCAATCTTCTTGACAATCCTATGGGGTGAGATCTGTCATAGCAGCCATTTTGCAGAGGTGGACTGAGAGGCTCAGAAAAGTAAAATACGTAAAGAGGCCACACCTAAAGTGGTGGGTTTGGAATGGCCGCTGAGGTCTGACTCCCTAGCTCCTAACCACATTCTCAAGAAAGCAGCTCTCCTCTCCCTGTTCCCTAACCTAGGGGCCCCAAGCACCCGACCTCCCAGACGTAATCTGACCTCGCCACTTCCCACCTGATCCCAGCCCGCCTCCCCCACCCGAATACTTACTCAAAATCTTTCTCCGTGAAGGGAACGTCCTCAATCAACACAGCGGAATGGACATTGAAAAATATTCCGAGCATTATCTGGAAAAGGGGAATGGGTAGGTTGTTGAATTCAGGCACTTGACCTCAAGTTCACTTCGTAAACCCCTCCCATTTCTAATGTTGCTACCACACCCGTGCCTAAGATGAACCAAAACGAGGTGGTGGTTACTGGATTCGGACTCAGCCACCTGGAACAGGGCGTGAGGTGGTGACATTGAGACAAGTGGCCGAGGCAAGGGTAGGAATAGTGACCAAGCCTTCTCTCCCAGGAACCCAGATTATCGTCCTCCCTGGAGGCGTCATCATCACGGGACAGTGCGCAAGAGGGGAGGGAGAATCGGCACTTCTTCGTATCATTTCTTCTTGAAGTGGCGGTGGGTGGATTACTGGGAAAACAAGGCCCAGCTACCCATTTCTGGAACAAGCACTCTTTCCCCCCATGTCCTCCATTCAACTCAAGCATCTCTCAGGAACCCCGCTCTTGTTTATCCTACCTTGAAGGGTCTCCACATTTACCAGCCCCAGCTCCTCCCACTCCAGGGCCCTTTGCTCCAGTTTCCTTTTTTCTTTTTCTTTTGGGACGGAGTCTCGCTCTGTCGCCCAGGCTGGAGTGCAGTGGCGCGATCTCGGCTCACTGCACCCTCCGCCTCCCGGGTTCAAGCGATTCTCCTGCCTCAACCTCCTTTAGTGGCGGGGATTACAGGCGCGCGCCACCACGCCGGCTAATTTTTGTAGTTTTAGTAGAGACGGGGTTTCACCATGTTGGTCAGGCTGGTCTCGAACAGTTCCCATTTTTCAATTTCAGTCTGTCTCCTTCTTCGGGGCCTGTAGATCCCCGGCCCCTCCGGCCTGCCTGCGGCCCAGAGTTTCCTTGCCTCCCAACCCTCCTAGCCCGGAGCCCCTCAGGCCCTCTCCGATCCTTGCTGGGGAGTCCCCTCACCAACATGATCACTCCCCAGGCGCTAAGGACGATGCCGCAGGCGGCCAGCTTCGGCCCACAGCACAGGAGCGACGCCATGAAGAAGGGAGTCGGGGATCGCCGAGGTGCAAGCGGGCGAGGAAAGCGGTGGGAGAAAGCCCAGGATGCCCTCGGAGGGGTGCAGAGGGGGCGTGGCCCCGGCCTCAACCATCCCGCCCGGGGGCGGCAGGAGGACAAGGCTGGACTCTTCTCAGGACTTTCGCGGGAAACGGCGCCGTCCGAAACCGAAACAGCTCCTGGGGAAGCCCTTCTTGACCTCTGTAGCTAGGGCGTGAGTATTGGAAGAGCGAGGGTCTCCGGTTTCTTGGTCCCCCTCCCCCCGCAGACGGGAATGGAAGGAGCTGGCATGTCACGTGACCAAATCTGTGAAGTCACGTGACGAGGAACTATCTGTAACCAGGCGTTGGGCAAAAAAGTCGAACTGGCGGAGCTCTTGGGAACTGGGGCGATGGTCTCTTAGGATCGGAGGATTGGAACCATCCGATTTTTACCTGAAATTCCTTAGTCTCTCCTGTGTTGGGGAAATGGTAAGTAAGACAGATTATCACCAACAGAGAGCGTTTCTCTCTCTACTCCTCCCTTTTAAAATTGAGATTCTGACAGTATAAAGGAGTTAGGACCCCCTTTTGGGGGTCAGGCATGGTTTTGTGGCTAGAACGCTTTAAAATTGCTTAAGGTTCTTGGCATTGGAACTGTTTCTCCTAAGTAACATTTTTTCATCACACTTGAAATACTGTAACTCTCGATGCCAAATTCAGGAAAAATGGGCAGTTAGGAGAAGTCCAGGGAAAGCCGACTGAGCAGGTTGTAAAGGTAAGCAGTCCTGTTAAATGTACATAAAAATGTCACTTTGCTTCTCTACTTTAAACTAGGAAAACTGATAGGTCTTTTGAATAAGGTATGATATAAGATTTAAAAATACAAATAGGTCATCCTCTCCAAAAAAGCCGTTTGTATGCTTAACTGATGAGTGACAGATCTGTAATAATTATTTAGAAATATGAATGTCGGGGCAGGCGGATCCCCTGAGGTCGGGAGTTCCAGACCAGCCTGGTCAACATGGCGAAACCCCGTCTCTACTAAAAATTACAAAAATTAGCCGGGCGTGGTGGCACGAGCTTGTTATCTCAGCTACTCAGGAGGCTGAGGCGGGATTATCGCTTGAACCTGGGAGGCAAAGGTTGCAGTGAGCCAAGATGGCGCCACTGCATTCCAGCCTGGGCGTCAGAGGGAGACTACCTCTCAGAAAAAAAAGAAATAGGAATGTTTGAAGAGCACGATTTTGCACTGAGCAAGTTGTACCCACTCTAGTGAGGACAATGACCTCAGAATAATTGAGAGGGATCATTTGACCTTGAGGCCCCAGGACCTAACAAATAAACACTGTCATTGGCTAGAATAACTTTGTAGTTCTTGTCCATTTATTTTGTGCATATTGTTCTTAAAAGGCTTGTGAAAGATAACTTGGAATGTGACAAACACATAGATCCCAGAGTATTAAAGGGGTTGGGAAAGTAGCTTTGAGACATGAAGTATGTGCCTGTCATCTGGGACTGTTTGGAGAAAGAAGCGATTTTGGGGCAGTGGTTTTTATTCTGCCCCCAAAGCATCATTCTTATTCAGGGACTTTTGGGGTACATGGGTGAACAGGAGAAATATGGGTGGAAGGAAATTGCCAAAGAACCGAGTCAGGAATTTATACATCGGCCACCCGGCATGAAGGTTAGTTCCCGGGAATGGAGAGTTAGCTGGGGTAAGTTGATTTTTCTAAGAAATCCCCCTGCTCCATGATCTTGGATGTTTTGGAAGTAGGGTCAGGGCCTTAGGCTAGTGCAGAGTTTAAGGGCCAAATCCAGTCTGTAGCCTGGCTGTGTGTGTCTCAAACAAAGCACATTTGTTTGTGGATTTTTTTTGCATTTTAAATAGTTGAATAAAAACCAAAAGAGACTATTTTGTGATGTAACGTTCATATCTGTGTCCATAAAGTTTTATTGGAACATAGTCACACTCATTTCCATGTTGTCTGTGGCTGCCTTCATGCTGTAGCAGGAGAGCTGAGTAGTTGAGACAGTGACTACGGGGCCTGCAAAGCGTAAAAAAGGATCTAGTCTTTGCAGAGAAAGTTTACTGCTCCCCTGGGCTAGTGGGATACTAATGTAGTTTCACTGGGGGAGGAAATAGAGCCTTAGCAGCAGAGACTTTAGTAAAGCATGAAATTCAAGATAGAAATGTCAGTCTTAAAGCGGATGTGAAATCTTGCAGGTGGAGTCACTCTAGGGCTCAGATGGTGACACTGTTCTCTATGCAGCTGGGCTTCAGGTATTCATAGGGCCAGTCAAGTTGCTCATTCCGGGCTGTAATCTCCTTTTCCAGGTTTTCCAAATCTGTTCGGAATTGGTTTAGCACCGCTTTGGGCTTGGGGCCTGAGAAATATTTTTCTTTGTGATGCCCCAGAGGCACCTGAGACAGAACAAAGGATCAGTCAGTTTCTAAGAGCCCAGCCCCCACTCTAATATTTCCTTTCCAACTGTCATTTCCCTCTCCCGAGAGTCCCCTCTCACCATGTCTGGCTGGCGGCGACCCAGATGCCATGAGATGGCCATTTGAAGACAGGCCTGCTGGACATCAGGTAGTGATCCCATCACTGTGGCCATTGTCACGTCTTCCTTGGTGGTGGGTGGAGGCATCCGCATTGTGCATGGGGCATTAGGGACCCAGGCATACCAGTCCAGCTGGAGGAAGAAACTGTAACCCTAGAACCCTGGTGCTTAGGGTTTGAACTCCCATCTCTCCCTCAGGTCACCTTGCCTTCAGGGACCTGGGCTTTCAGCTGTCCATACCTGGCCCTGGTTGATGGCGGCATGCTGGGCAGTGCACGTGAAGACGCACATGGTGAGGAAATGGCAGAGTTGACTCTGGGACTGGAAGGAGACAGGGAAACCTGAGCAGGAAAGGAATAGAGGAACAAAGGCTATTGTTTTGGGATGCCCGTATTTTAGAATTGATGAGTATTTGTTCATTTTATTTAGACATATTTGCATCAGACATGGGTTTGAGTCCTGGCTCAGTCACTTACACTTAGTTACCATAGGCCTGCTTAACCTCTTTGAACCTCAGTTTTTTCACCTGTAAAATATGGATGATACCTTCATTATAAATGAGATGGTGTATCAAAATCACCTGGTCGGTAATAAATGCTCAATAAGTAATAATTATTGTTATGGAAGCATTGGGGGCTGAAAAGTTCTGAGTGACCAAATATCCCTTGCCTCAAAAAGTGGTTAAGAATTGAGGGATGCATGGTCGGTGACTCATGCCTGTAATCCCAGCACTTTGGGAGGCCAAGGCAGGAGGATTGCTGGTGTCAGGTGACAGAGCAAGAGCCTGTCTCTATTTAAAAATTAAAAAATAAATAAATAATTTAGGAATGCTTACTCCTATACCCAGATAGAATTACACGTGTCTGTGTTATAAGGTGGGGAATAAGTCATGGATGTCCAGTGTCACAGCGAGGGGGGCTCCCACAAAGGTTATCTCAGGCCACTCATCTTACAGTGGATATGGGGGCTCAGAGACCCAATAATCTTTTTTTTGTTTGTTTGAGACGGAGTCTTGCTCTGTTGCCCAGGCTGGAGTGCAGTGGCACCATCTCGGCTCAGTGTAACCACCGCCTCTCGGGTTCAAGTGATTCTCCTGCCTCAGCCTCCCAAGTAGCTGGGATTACAGGCGCCCACCACCATGCCCGGCTAATTTTTGTATTTTTAGTAGAGATGGGGTTTCACTGTGTTGGCCAGGCTGGTCTCGAACTCCTGACCTCAGGTGATCTGCTGACCTCGGCCTCCCAAAGTGCTGGGAGACCCGATAATCTTATCAGTTAAGTGGAATAAATATAATTACTCTCATTTCATAGGTAAGAAAATCAAAGCCCATAGAGAATACACTGTCAGGACTGCATAGTCGGGAAAAGGCAGAGGCTGACCTTGAACTCAGGTTCCTGACTGCTAATCCCACAGCATTTTTAATTTTAGCCTCTAAAATGCCTGTTGGGAAAACTAGACAGAGGTGAGCTATGAGAACTGAAAGAGAACAAGGGGGAGGGCAGTTAGTGGAGGTTAAATTAACGTGTGTCATGAACTGAGTATCTTTGGCTCTGAAAAGTTTTTATATTGAAATCTAATCCCATTGTGATGGTATTTGGAGGTGGAGCCCCACAAGATAATTAGGGCATGAGGATACAGCCCTCCTGAATAGGCAGAGGACAGAGTAGATAGCTAGCTAGCTTGCTATCTTTCTGCTATGTGAGGATACAGGGAAAAATCGACTGTGGGCAGCCTGGAAGAGGGCGCTCGCCAGAACCTGATCTTGAATTTCCAGCCTCTGGAACTGTGAGGAATACATTTCTGTTGTTTGTAAGCCACCCAGTCTATGGTGTGTGGTTTTGTTTTTGTTTTTGTTTTTAAGACAGAGTTTTACTCTGTTGCCCAGGCTGGAGTGCAATGAAGTGATCTCGGCTCACTGCAACCTCCGCCTCTCAAGTTCAAGCAATTCTCCTGCCTCGGCCTCCTGGGTAGCTGGATTACAGGTGTGTGCCACCACGCCTGGCTCATTTTTGTATTTTTAGTAGAGACAGGATTTCACTATGTTGGCCAGGCTGGTCTCAAACTCCTGACCTCGTGATCCACCGACCTCAGCCTCCCAAAGTGCTGGGATTACAGGTGTGAGCCACCGCGCCTGGCCAGTGTTTTGTTGTAGTAGCCCAAACTGCTAGGAGTCTAAGGGACTGTACTGAGAAGAACTAGAGACAGTTTGTTCCTGGAAGGGCGGGGTGGTGCAGCTTCACCAGGGAGAGGCTCCCTCCAGGGTAAGGATGTTTGCCACATTCCCAGGATTGGCCATAAGGGCTCCCCAGTAAACGTCTGTAGTTGTCCCACAGAGGCAGAGGATGGTATTCAAGGCCTAGATCTGAAGTGTGAAGGGGAGGGGCCAAAGGATGAGTGACAGCAGTCCAGGCTGGGGCCTGTGTGATTAAACCTAAGAGCTCAGCAAAGGCTTTTTCTTCCTCAGAGGTTCAAATATGGTAGTGGCTAGATTCTGGCCAAGGGGTGGTTTGGGTGGGAGGGTTGGATTAGCCAAAGAAACCTGAGCCCCAAGGATCAGGGTGCTGAGTTTGGGTTTGAGGCAAAGCATGTATAGGATTGAGCTTGCATCAAGAGCTGACCTTGCACTGTAGCAAGCGTGCAGTATTCCTGGACCCTCTGGGCGTGCTGGACAGTGGCAGGCAGGAAGAGAGGGACGGAAAGCCAGGG